CATTACTCCAATCCTGGATAAAGGGAGTAAAAAAAAAAAAAAGATAAGATCTATCCAGCAACTCTGCAGGTGTCTTTAGCTTTCAAAATCACTTGCTGGAAGTAATGAGATGGAGAGGAAGTTATAATTGGAGACTTGAGATAATGTAGTTATAATTGTGATCTAACAAAGCTAGCAAGGAGGAAGTATAAGGAGTTTCCCCACAAAGGAAGGGAGTCGAGTTCTGGAGCAGGGATCTCTAAGCTCTAAGTGTTGGCCTGATGCACCGTTTGCTGAGAGGCCACACACTCCACTCCTCTCACTCACTCCATGCGACAATAAGGAAGATCCCCCGCCCTGCGGTCTTAAATCACGAGGAAGTCTTTACAAGGCTGTAAATCTGAGACAGACATCCTGGCAGTCGGTGGAACTTTAGAAGGAGAAATGCCCGTGGGACCGGCAGGAGATTAGATAAATCAAGCCGCCCCCGCAGCCAGCAAACATCCATTAATCGCACGTCCATCAGGCGCAGATGATCGCTTCTGCTTTGTAGGCGGTGGGCAATGACAGGATAGAGGCATCATATGACCGGGGATCCATTACGTCTCATCTCACCATGAAGCATGGAGGAAGACTGATCTTGGGGGAATATGTCACACTAGGGAAAAAAGGCTGACATGATCTGTCATCAAACCTGTCAGACGACACAAATAGTGCAAGCGGAGGTTAGTCTGCTGTAAACCTCAAGAGAGGTCAGACTCCTCTGCAGATTTCTACATGCTGGCAGATTGTAGGAAATCTCTTTAGAGAGTGAGCCAGAGCGCACAACCTTAAAGGAGGAGAAAGAGGCCGTCAAGCTTGGAGAGTTTCTCTCTCAAGTGGCTGAAGGTGATAGAAACACTTCAACCAGGATATCTTTTTTCCCTCCCAACGACAGCCTGTAACAGTCTCTATCAAACAGAGATGTAACAATAGAGTCCGTGCTTAGTGCTGCCAGAGAAAGAGCTAATCCATTTAATAATCGATGTGGAGCATAGCTGGAGTCAGCATGTCAAGCTGACATTAAGTTCCAGGGTGCAGTGAGGAGAACGAGCGAGGAGGAGCAGCGGCGCTGCGGTCGGTGCCCCTCAGCAGATAAGAGACTGATTGACTTTTTCTGTGAGCTGACAGAGCTTCAGCTGCTCCGTATGCTCAGAGGAACGGTGTGTGTGGGTGTTTGTGTGAAGAAGAGAAATAAAGCATATGCTAGAGTCATTAGGAGGTTGTAAATGAACGTTCACAAATGAGTTGAAGTTATAAATCAAGCTCAAGAGCTGAGTGGATTATATCTGCCTGGAAAAAATGGAACCAGGGTATTTGTATTGAAAAAAAGTTGATATTCAGACAAGATATAATTTTTTCCAAGTGGATCATCAAAATAAGCGGTCTTCATAATTGTCAATCATTCTGGTGATATGTTTATGTAGGGCCGTCCCACGAGCTAGTCCCAATTTTCACTTACCGGAGATGAGTCTGACATAGTGGAAAAATAGCAAATATTTTTTTGGAGAGTAAGCTTGTATTAATGATGCAAACAGCAACTTTTACAAAGAGCGTGCACAAGGAGAAATGGGCTTGTGCATGCTCTCACATGTGTTTAACAGGTGTTCCCTCTCAGGTACAGGGTTGTGCATGTGTTTTGTTTTTTTTTGTTTTTTTTAAGTGGTAGGGAATCGACTGTTCCAACCGTTGCATTTCCGAATTCTCCCGAGTGGTACACGACTTTACACGAGTAGATAATGTGAATGTGATTGGTTGTTTCTCAAGGGGGCGGGATTGTTGTGGCGGAAGGTTTGCAAGCAAATTTGATTGTGGCCGGTGTCTTGGAAACATCTTGCTAACGAGTTAGAAACTTAGTGCCAGTAGGTTCCCAATGGGAAATTACATTGCACGAAATTACAGTAGCACTAAATTGTTGACAAAAGGCCAATTTATGCTTCTGACACATAGCCTCTGCAACTGTCAAATCTGTCTCTGTAAAAAAAAATCCTGACTACAAGCGGAAGTGCGCAGACAAAAAGCAGCTATGATTGGTCCTTGGTATTAGCCTGACGTAGTCCGACTCAATTCTAGTCAGAATATGAGTCTGATACTGCTCCATAGAGCTGTGATTATGGGGCGTGTTTCGAACGAACCAGGAAAAAAAATGCCTCTGCACTCAATTGGATAGATCTACAACCAATAAGAGCAAGGGAGTGCGTGACGTATGTTAAGCGAGGCATAGTTGTTGTCCACAAAAATCAAAGCGTGCAGTTTCACGCCTAGAATAAGAAGATGAGACTTGATCGCGTTTCTCTGTTCCTCTTTTAAAATTAATTTGCTGTCGATATCTTCTAGAACAGACCTAATAGCAGAATCTACTCACCCAAACTCTCCAGCGGCAGCCATTATTGTTGTCACCCAAGCGCGCTTTGGTCACGTGGTTGATTACGTTACTCTTGATCATCTGTCCATCATCGTATAAAGCCCGCCCTGACAATTTGATTGGATCGCCTGACAGTGGGCTATAATACTCGCGCTACTATGGAGCAGAGCCAGACCGAACTTCCCCGAACTCAAACCTTGTGGGCGGGACTAAGTTCGGACTGGCACCCAGGCTACCTTGGTATGCCTTTCCGGCAGTCTGTGTGGTCGTCCTTCTCAATTCGGTGCCAGGGCCCGCCATTTCTAAAAACAATGGACAACTACGACGAAAGGTTAATTGAGGAGGTTCGTAAGTACAACCACTTGTACGATGCCTCAGACAAATTATATAAAGATGTCAAGGTCTATTGCAAAACAAAGTTCTCGTGACCATCTGCCGAAGTTCTTGTCAGTTCTCAAATAGGCTCCCCTTTGCGCTTTGGCGGGAAACTGCTGTGCGTCCCTAAAAATTCCACACAGACGGTGCAGAAGCATACCAGCAAAACTGGTTTGCGATGTAAATGACAATGACAAGGAACGCTATGCAGCAGTAACATGCAAGAGGAGAAGAGATTTTTGTCGGAGGTCTTGGATGAGTCTCCTTCGTCAAACATTTTTCATTTAGAAGAAAAAATGAGGACGAAGATGTGTGGAAGAGGACGCCAGGGCGGCAGCCGTTTCTTGTCTGTTTGAGCCCTTGCCTCGCAACGGTGCCAGTTCTGTTAGCTAAACGCCTGCCAACGACACAGATGTCCATCACTTTGAACACTGGGACAGAACTCAGTGGTAAAGTAAATTATTCTTATTTCTTATTTCAACCGTTGCGTATATTAGTTGCGACATATTAATCAAGATGACCAACAAAATTTGATTGACAGATGACCATTGATATATGATTGGCCAAATTTAGGTGTACAAGCTGACGTATAACTAACTGGCCTACATTAAATAACGAAAAAAAAAAAAAAACTGATTTTAAGATAGGATTTTCTTTAAAATAGAAATTTTTCAAATTTTGGGACAATATCGCCTGATAAAGAGTACATTTATATACATGTTTAAGCCAGAACGATTTGACATTTAAATATGATTTCCCTACGACTTTAAATATGGAGATGGTGGGTCTTTTGAAAAATTTTACCAAGATTTCATTGCGGTGTCAAGAGAAAACAGAGGTCGATACGCTAAGTAAAACAAATACAAGAAATCAAAAAACATTCACATCATCATACATTATAATCCCTAAGAGTCACATTAAATTGAATGTGGCCATCTTTGATCATATCTTACCATTACCATCAGATTGGATAGTTCTTATTTGTTAAAACTGTTAAAACATATCTTCAAAAAATAAATATAAACATATAATTATCTATATGTGCAACTATCCAACACAAGTAAATCATTTGTAGTTGTGCCAAAATGATTCTTGACTTGAACATCAGGAATTTCTATGGTTCCTTTTAGAAGGGGATGAAGCCTGGTAAACGGCAGCAATCTCTGACGTTTTCACAAACATGAATTTACAGCCTAATAATCCAGATTAGCCTTCCTCGAGGCCATGAACCTTCAACCCCAAATCCTGCTGCTGATTTCTTACATTCCAGTGTTTGAAATATTTTCAGAGCAGAACTCAACACTTTAACTGGACGAAGTCTGATGGGGGGGGAGGGGGGGGGGGGGGGGGGGGGGGGGGGGGGAATGATAACAGTGGGGGTGGGGGGCTGCAGTAAATCCCCGGGGACCTGTTTTCATCTCTGCATCTGGGCGCCGAGCCTACAACATCAGGAGCACATTTTTCAACTGGGCTTTTTTCCAGATGAGCACACCACCCTGCTGAACTTTGGCCAAGAGTGAAAAGGAGCTCATTACTGAGAAATGTGCTTGCGGGCTTACATTTCAAGACGTGTAAGTGCTTTTTAAACATGGACGAGGAGAAGGAGAGCCTTTGAACCTGGATCGTTGGAGAGCCAAGTGGTGATTCTGGATTTTAGGCTTCTAGAACAACACCACCTAACTAAAGTGTTTAAAAGCCCTGAAAATTAAAACTCAACAAATTCAATACCATTCACTGGGATACCAAAAAGTACATCACAGTTAATGGAAATAAATGCAAAATTTTCAGAATTCATAAGAATATAAAAAGCATGGTTGCATTTAGATTTTGTCCCACAAGTCAAATCTGTAGAACCACACGTTGCTGCAGTTTAAAATGTAAAGTCTTTTATTTAGCACATCTACAGAATGTCCGTTTTGACGACTCTTCTCCTCAAGATTGGGTGGAGGGAATCCGAGAACATATATCTTCAAGTCTTTTCAAATGGATTAAGATCTAGCTTATTAACTTCGAAACGTGTTGCTATAAATCCATCCACTGCAGCTCTGACTGTAGGTACAGCAACCAACTAAAACAGAGAAAACTGGATTGACTAGCTTGCACTCTTGAACTGTCCCTGCGGACACAAATCATTCGGCTAGACCCACAATCTAAATCACTGATGTTTCGTAGGAGCTGAGTGGCACTTCCCACGACTCTGAAGGGAATTCCCTCCGGATCTATAAGCCAAGCGCAAACTTACTTGACCCTCTGGATCCAGATGCAGTAGTCAGAGATGTACAGGTCATTCAGTATGTAGGCCGGGTCGTTCTCTCTGAACATTTTATGGATATCCAGCAGGCATTTGAGGACGCAGGCTTTCCCTAGGCACAGGAACACAGCATGGCAGGCAAATGGAAAAAAGTGTTATTTAAACTCGGTACAGAGGATGACAACAAGATGCAGCTCCTGGCAGACAGAGCATTCATCTTAAGGCTCACAGCCATTGTTCCATGCATAAAAGCCAAGGTATGAGATGAGAAGGAAATCTCAGCATGCTGCAGGGTAATTTGAGCCACATGTTTCAAGAAGTGACTCATTAGAGACATGGGAGAATAAGTACTAGAGTGTTTTAGCCTAGTAACTAGAACTTTCTGTGGTGTTTAAGGTGAGCTTTTGGGTCTGATTATAGAGCTGGAGAGAAGGTAAAAAAATAAAAAAGCAGATGAAACATAATTATATTGTAATCACAAAGGAACATTAGACAAAACAATCTTCTATTAATGCCCTGGACATTAATGGTTTATTTGTGTGGTTGGATGGACTTCAGCTGGACTTAATTCCTGCCCCCTAATCTATATCTTTAATGTCTAAGATGCTTAAGCTCACATGGAGAGGAGTGGGTATTTTGAAATGAAAAAGCCACAATATCATCAATGAATGTGTATCATCAAATGAATCTTTAGAGGTGCATATAGTACTGAGACGAGAAAAAAAGTCAGTCAGATTTAATCAAAGCGTGTCATCAGCTTGCTAATAGGGCATTTTCTCTTGATCCTTGATCTTGCTGCCACTCCTCACTGACAAGACTTGTTATTCTGCGTTTCTTTAAAGTAATTGCTTTCCACTTGCATTTCTTTGTTTTCCATAAGACATTTAAATTTCTTTGGGAGATTTTCACTCTTTAATCAACTCATCAATCTAGCAGGATATCCAGAAGAACAGTTTATTCTCAGATGAATGCACTGCCACCTGCATGCAAAACCTTTACTGCCTACAACCTAAAACACAACTGCAAACTGTTGGGCCTATTGGTTTTCTGCTGTTCTACTACACCTCAAGGGAATACTTTCACACGCAGAAATAGAATTTTTCTACTAAGACAAAGGTAGGTCAGGCAGCAGGTGAAGGTGATTTTTGAATGCAGTTATCTATTTAGGTCCTCCTAGGTCAGGGGTCGGCAACCCTCTTTAGCGCCCCCCTTGCGGCTTCCTGGAGCTTTTTCAAAAATGAATGAAAATGGAAAAAGATGGAATTTTTTGTTTGTTTGTTTTCACATGGTGTGCAGGAGGTCAAACAAACGTTCATTGTGTTTTCCAATGCTGTAAAAATTTGTATAATAAATAAATGTAAACAATAAGCTTAAACATTTCGGTCAAGGGAGATTTGCGTCAAAGCCTGCAACAGAGGTTTCAGCGCGGCGCGGTGCCAGACAGGTGGCTGTCGTAAACAAAGCAGCAGGTCTGTCTCGGGCCATGGACCCCACATAGGGATAGCTGATGAGAACAGAGGATTCAAAAGAAGAATAGACCGAAGACGAAATAGACCGAATAATTTGCTTTAATTACCAATGCAGAAGTTGTCAAATAATGAAAAGAGTCATTTGGAAAGGCATTTTCAGGGAAGGCATGCTAAATTTGCAGCCTACCACCAAGTTAGGAGTGAGAGAAAAGAGTGATTTCAGTAATTCTGGATAAATTAGAGGAGCGCAAAGATAGATTTAAGAAGTGGATTGTATCTCCAAACTCCACTACTGCTGCTAGATTTGTTGCAAGCATGGAAAACCATTCACAGATCAAACAGGTAGCGCTCTGATGCAGGTATGTGAACTTTATGCCATTTTATTTCCCCAAAATCCTCAAAATAAATATAATACCTACCAAAAATCTGATTTCATTATCGTGTTTCTATGATGTCATCAATGCAACAAAACCTAGCAAATTAATATTGTAATGGAATTTAAACCCAAAGCACCAAATACAGCCGAGTAGTCACGTGATTTGACATTTGCTCCAGTATAAACATTAATCATTAGTGGTTATTATACATTTAAACCCACATAGTCCTTTTTTCTAGTGGGCTAATACACTTAGAGCCCATGTTGCCATATGTTACTTATATAAGACTACAGACAGATTTATTTATTTTTGGTCCAATATGGCTCTTTGAACGGTTTGGGTTGCCGACCCCTGATGTAAAGCATATTGCTGTGTTGGTGAAACAGTTTGAGCAAGAGTTCCAGAGTAGAAATCCAAAACATTATCTTATTAAAATTACTTAAAAAATAACGTCCACATGCTTTTGAAGCAATTTCTCTACTAATATCGACATTTCATTTCTGGACAAAGATATGGAACATCAAAGCAGCTGTCACTTTGAAGAAAAATTAGACTATTTTTCTCAAAATATTGCCTCATCTGCCTACACACACACAAGTGACATAATGTTAATCCATAGGGTTTCCATTTCATTCTCTTATGTGAGGTCAGACACTATTGTTGGATGAGAAGGCCACATCCTTCTGTAAAAACATTCCTGAGGTGGAAGCCATGCCTCCTTGCAGGCTACTTAACTTTGTCACAACAAACTCAATCATCCTTGTCCATATTGTCCTGGCTTTATACACAGGGTTATTCCAAGTTTTTAAAGGAAAGCACCAAACCCAGAAACTTTTATCAGTTTTCAAGATATAGGCTGAGAACCCATCACCATTGGTCTAGAGTTTAGAAGCAGCATGCTTTATATCCCTGCAAATTATGCCTTGCATTGCACATGTTGAATTAAGGCCTTGATGCAGCTGACTGGCCATGAAAACAATTATCTTCTGTCAGTACCATACCTTTTGTGGGTGTGTAGTTACCAATTTCATATAAGTCCCTCCATGGTGTGAGTCTCTGACTTTAAATCAGAGATGGATCCTGGTTGCTTCAAGATGAGCATCCAGCAAATAAACTCTACTAAATCTGTATGCAAGTTCAGGGGTGAATAAAGAAAGCAGCCAATAGGAGTCTGTGTCTATCTTCATCTAGCCTACATTCCTAATCTCTTCCACTTTGTTGAATAAACCAAACAGTTGACTGTTTAGTATAATACAATTTGATGACTGAACTTCTTGCAGAGGTAGAATCCGATCAGGGTACTGTGGTAGAGAACCTGCTCCATCGCATCATTCCTGGATCATTTGGTTTGTCAGTTCTAGAGAAACAGCTGTTGACAAACCTGATCAACTGGATGTCCTACTTCATATACGTCACAGTTTGTTTTAGACCTAATTACATTTAATGATTGGTGTCTCAGCTGCTCTTTGTACATCTCACCCCACACATCTGTTCAGGTCACAGGACACAGACAGATCAGGACCTGTAGCAGTCTCTTACAAACCATGACTGTCAATTAAAGGGGAAACCCAAAAAAGTGATTTCTAGGTCAACAAAGTAATGTGCACAAACTTAAAAGCTGTTTTCCAAGCTGCGTAGACCTAGTTAGGCTGCCATTTTTTAAAAAGGTTGGCCGTGTAAAACGAGGACATGTGGCTCAGTTTGGTTGCAGGTGACATTTATGGTCAGCAGACCAACAACAGGTGTCAGGAGTTTCTAGCTGGTATAGATCAAGCGCAATAAATATGTTTTTGTCAGAGGTAAGAACTGAGAAAAGAAAGCTCAAAGGCACTTTCAAGGGGATAGAAACCTCAAAGTTGCAGGTTTAGTGTCCCTAGTGGCCAAAAGTTTAACAGTGTGGCTTCCAATAGCAGCCCTTTAATTATTCTGAGCAGTGTATATAAACAGATCTCACCATGTTTTGTGGTTAATGTGAAGTTACTAGAAAGAAGCCTTTAAACAGGTGCCTTCACAGGAACAGGTTTGTTTTTTTAGTTAATTTCAGAGGTTTTACAGAAGTTTTAAAAGGAAGGGAAATAGATAATCTTGTATTAAATGTAGAGACTAAGTCTTTGCAAAGGTCACATAATCTACACCTGCATATTACATGTGGGTTTAGAAATTGTGCTACCACAGATGCTTCACGTTTGCAGAACCACAAAGAATTGGCCTCAACTTTTTCAACATTTGTCATTTCCTGCTGTAAAGTTATATGACAAGCCAAACTGCTACAGCCTCCCTCCTATCAACCATATAAATAACCTCATGATTTGGCAAACATCTCACAGAGGGAAGGAGAAACTTCTGAGCTGGTTGTCTGGGGGCATTCCAGGCCAAGCCAAATAAACAACAAACAAACAGCAAGGAAAAGCTTAAACTAACAATTGGTTCTTATTTCATACATGGGGTTATACAGGGAGAGGGGGTCTGCCCTGGGTAGAAATTAGATCATATGTGGTAAAAGAACATCTGCTTGCAAGATTTGGCTTTTTTTTTGGTAAGACGTATCACATTCTCCACTTGTGGAAAACTAGAGGAAAGGTTGAACTCTGTAATTTTGCTATATGCCGATTCTGGCTTAAAGTGGAATCAAACTGTTAACCAAACTATCTCAATTTATGAAATTGTGTCTATTATTAATAATTAGATTACAAACTTGAAAAATATAATTAATTAATTATATTAATTTTTTGGTAAGGGCGCCGCCATATTGCAGTACTCTAAGCTGTGATGTTATGGGGTTATGCGATGCTTCAGCTACAAGTTTAATACATTAGAAAGACCAGAAAACAGTACAATACTTAGAAAATTCGGTATGATGGAAGATAAAGCTAAAGGGACTAAAGTGTCTAAATCCCATTGCTTATGCTTTTGAGCCTATTCGCTGGGTGGCTCGAGTCTCATTAAGGAGAGGCCTCTGTGGGGCCGATGTTCTGACTATCCTTGCTACCTGACAATCCGCCATACTGTGTGGCAATGCACAGACTGATAGCAAGTCACAGGTTGCAGAAAGACAACTCTGTCCCTGTTGGGAAAAGCATCCCCATTGCATGACGCTGCTTCCGCCATACGCTTCTACACACAGAAGCCATCTTGAATGACAGCTGTTAATTTGCATCACACACACCATCTTTTTATGCAAACCAGAAAACCTATTTTAGTCAGAGCATGTTCTTCCACAAACTATTTGTTGTGTTTATGGATTTAGTGATGTTCTGAAAACTCACGTTACATTTGAGGAAAGCACGACTTTGAACGCTCCAGACAATGCGGATCCAGTTTGTGGGCTCAACAGTTTGTTTAGTCTCCATCTTTGTGGTGAAAAATTTTTAGTTTGGTCAACATGAAACCTTCCATATTTTGTTAGGGCTTCAGTGATGAAAAGTTTATTTTAAACAAGAACCATTAAGAGAGGGTTTCTTAATACTCTATTTCCTATGTTAAAGCGAGACCCACCTACCCACTGTATCAGCTCTTATGTACTGAAACATTTAATCTGTGATGGGATTTTTCACCCTTAAGTCACAATACAGAAATGGAAATCTGTGTGTTGCGAAACATATAGATCTGGATGTAAATCATTTGAGTCTTTACTGGGTTTAATAGAAGTAGGTCAGAAATCTCTTAACTTCTCTCTTATCAAATGTCTCCTGGTTGTTATTCTTCTCAGTATTCAGGGAACAGCAGCAGCTTCTGGAAAATATCTGGAAGGTGATTGAACTAGGCCGTATGCCAGCTGGATGCAGCTTCAGGTGACATTTACTTTTTTTGTCATGTCAGTAAGAGGATGAAAGCACCATGACCCGTATGCTGCCCTCCACACTTCCCGTCCCCTCCCTGCAGGCCTGGTGGCTCCTCAGTTACACCCTGGCTGCAGGTGGAGGACCCTGTGAAGAATATCTGCCACAGTGCTGGAGGGCTGCTTAAATATTTACCACCGGATAACATTTCCTTTAAAGCCCTAACCTATGTACCACTCTTAATGGGTTTGTTTAGCTGATACCTATGAATGTTAGTTTTATAGCTACTCCAATGGAGCAACTTAAAACTGGAACATGCAATAAAATTTCCCTCATTATAACAAAATAATGAGGATGTTGAGTAATACTGGAAGGAAACACCCCGACACAAGCCAGGCCAAATTACTGCGCTGTTACAGTTCATTAGGGAGAAACAACATGACTCACATTGGCAGAGTGTTAGATTTAACAAGGGGTAGAAATAAGAACGACTAACTGGGATCCTGTACATTTAAAATATCAACGGTAGAAATTTACTCCAATTATCGGAGTTTTGTTTAATTTGGTTAATTCATTTGGTTCCCATTTAAAGACAGAACAGATAGATGGATGAATGTTCAGACATATTAAACAATAGAAATAAATGAAGTCCGGTGGTATTTTTCCATGTTTGTCCCTTTTTACATTCCAGGACCCCAGGACAGAGCATCACGCCTTAAGACCAGAACACACCGAATGCTATTTTGCATCTGATCCAACAGAAAATCGTGTCGGACAAGGTTGCGTAGCTCCGACTGAGATAGACCGCATGTTTATTTTTCAACGCAGTTATTCGGCGGCAATTTCATGGATTGTGGTCGCAGCCTATATATGCAGTCAGTGTAATATGGCAAAAAAGCGGATCGGAGATTAAAAAGTCGTATGCAACCAGTGTGATCCAGCATTTAGAAACAGCTGACTTCCAGCAGCAGGTTTTGTGAGCTAAACGCAACCCAGGTTAAAGCAGACAGAGTTGTTCAAAGATTAAAGAAAGCTGTTCGGGTGAGAGAGTGACAAACTGTCACACTTTCACACTCCTGATAGACTAATCTTCCAACTCAATGAGGCGAGGACTAATCAGGGGCTTCAAAGGCCTTTAATTTGCTGTTATTTTCTTTAGTTAGAGTTGTCAGAAGCAGGGTGATCTAAGTCTTTACACATGCTGAGTATGTTTACATTGCTGACTCTCTGCTGTCTGCGGGGGCTTCGCTTTAAAGATTAAAGATATTAAGGTATCCCTCCCTGAGGTGTAAAAGCGTGCCCGCACCTCCTTCTTAAATGTTATCTTTAAACACTCGCTGCATTTTTCCTAAGCAGCACTTTCTTTATGACACCGTTTCCAGCTGTCAGGCTGTTTTTCCTCGAAAACACAAAGAGTGTGTATCAGCTGTCAGGCTGCCTTTCCAGGTGCATGCTCTCACATCTAAACCACATCCCATCATTTCTAGGCTCAGAGCCTGATACTGTCTGTGTGCGCACAGGTAAAGCAATTTACATATGAAAACACGGCTCAGGGGAAAACAGGATGACTAGAATTAGCAGAAGCCTGCGTATAGGGAGGGAGAGAAAAAACCCTTTTTTACCCCTTTATAAAAAAAAAAAAACAGGAAAAAAATAAAAGTTAAATCAGCTTCAATGTGCTAGAGGAAAGGGCCCTGCAGAGGATAGTGGGGGGAATTGAGAAGGTTAAGCATATACTCTGGCCAGGAGCGTTTTCAGAGCTGCTGCAGTTATAGAGTAACTATAGGTAAGTTCAGTAGGAATCCAATAAATTCAGCAATCAGATAACCGCTATCATAGATATGTTTATATCTACAATGGAAATTAGATATCCAGAAAAAAAAAAACTCCTTGTCTACATGTTCCCTCTACGATTGCATGTCATGCTAGCTGGATCAGGGCTCAGAGTAGAGAATGGTGGTTGAGAGAGCGGAGCTTAATTCACTGACGCTCAGTGCAGAGCCGACTCGTGCACCGAGTCCCAAAGAGGAAACAGTCTGACCCGCGAGTTTCTGTGAGAAAAGCCATTTCTAAGCCTCACAAACTATTGATACAGCAATTTCCCACTTAGTGAGCAAATGAGATACATGGCAACTACAAATAAAGTCTTTCCCTTTGTAGCCCCTCGTTTATTATTATTAGTGCAGATGTTAAACATTGGAAGAAATCGGAAGACAGCTTTTGCATGTGCAGGGCAGTAGTAGGCAAAAATCCAATCTGAGACTTGCAGATTCTACTTATTGTTATTTCCAGTTTACGCGCTCCCCAAAATCATTAGACATCATTAGATCTATTTCTATATAATTGTATATTATTGTTCTTCCATTTTCTCTTTTTTATACAAGAAACTCTTGAAGCCATGTTAAACTGAAAAGGTTTAATTAGTAAATTACTGATCTTCCTCCAGCTCTTATGTTGTGTGTTGCTTTTCAGTGACTCACCTGTTTGTAAAATTTTAACCGTGTCACAAATAGCCGAATTCACCAAAGCAAAGTGTCGGTAGAGTGGGTAGCACAAGACCCTCCGTCCGAAGGACACCAGGACATCAAGCAAGCAGCTGTAGGTCTGCAGGAGACAGGGCATGTCTTTGAGAAATATCATCAACTTAAAAACCTAAATAAGTGCAAGATATGGGCTGATAACTGGACTTGGATATCCACTAGTTTGATTGATCTTAATTGGTTTCATAAGTAAACTAGAGAAAAAGTTAATCTGTTATTTGTTTGAAAATGAATTAAAAAAAAAATAATAAAACACAAAAAAATGAAAAAAATACAAAAAATAAAATACAAAATACAAAATACAAAAAAAAAAAAAAGTAAATAAATGCTTTACTGCACATACAGTAAAAAAAAAAAAAAAAAAAAAAAAAAAAAAGAAGATGATGATATCAAACAACGCAGAGAAGATTCCTCAAAATTAAACAATAACATCTGCCACAAGTGCATGCATATCAATGGTTCATTTAGGCTGTGAAATAGCAAGAGAGATCAAGACTTTACATTAAAGTCAGCGGGAGCTGAACAGAATAACAACATATGTTGCAAATTAAAACTAATTGAAAGATCAAAATAAACAATCCAAGTTAAATTGTTTCTTGGTTTCAGATACATAACCTACCTAATAAAGTATGTTGACTGAAAAGAACAAGTAAACATATATTGTATTTGCACTCCACTATTGCCAGAGAAGCCTGCAGGATGATCCAATTTAAAGAAATACATGAAAACTGCTCCAAAGTATCAAGCACTGCTATAGGTGAGGGGTCAGATTTACTGCTGGTGCAAGGAGGTTCTAGTTGGTAACGCACTCACAGAGAACTCCTTGGCAAAGCCAGCAATGCTAACTGTTAATTTAAAGTGGCATAGTCACATTATAAATCTATGCAAAAAAGACCAGAAAGTATTCAATAATGATAAAATGAGGTAAAATACACCAAACGTCTGTCCTGATTGTGTTTAGTTAGTCCTTTTTTAGCCTAAATAGAATTCCTGCAACAGGTACATGAGCAGACATAAAAAGAAGTGAGCGCCCCCTCCTGGTAGTACCGTGGAATGACCACAAAGCTACAACTGATGCAGCAACTTAACAGACCCAGATTGTCCCACAATGCCTAGGAGTAAAGCAACAACTTGGCGTGGCTGAAGACCAACCCCACCTACAGTAACTCCAATTTCTAGAAACTCCTCTCTTCAGCGCATCCAAACAGAAAATCAAGGGAAAAAATTCCTGTTGCCACCGAACATGAAACAGAGAGAAAGCATTAAGGTATGAAGCATTTTAATTAAATCAATAAAAAAATCTAAGGCTAAAACCTTTTCATTGTAATGATCGCTAATCAACAGATAAACATGCTTCTTCCAGGTGACCTGAACTGGATTTAATCTCCAATATTCTTCCCCATACAAGCCGCGGTGACAGAAAACAATTCAATCAATCAGTGTAAAATGTCATTTTCACTAGGACTGTAGAGACTAAGAATAGCATTACTGTCACTAGTAGAAATACCAATGAGGATGTTTAGTCATGCATCAGTCACTTCACAGCAACAGCTGAATGCCTCCATAGCTTTAGCTCCCGCCTCAGTGAACACCAACATTCCTACTGTATTCTAAGCACTACTTGATTCTCATTCGTCTTGAAATAAAAAAAAAAATTGTTTATTTATACTAGATCTCAGTTTTTTTCTTCAATTTAACAGCTGTGCTGGGAGTTCCCCACTTGCTCACCTCCATTGCTTGAGCTACTAGCATGCACATTTGAAAAGGTCAGTGACGAGGCTATGCACCTTTAAGATGCTAGGAACTTTCAAAGCTTTTTATCAAAGCATTATTTGCAGCTTTAAATAAGAAATCTGAATCAAAAGGTTAAAGATTTACAAAAAAAAAAAAAAAAAATCTATAAAAAATTCAGATCAGCTCAAGTGTTAAAATGACTGGTAAAGAAATTGATGATATCACTTGACTTAAGGGCCCATTTCTGTGTGTTTTTATGTTCCTTAGGTTAGATACTACCTCACATTGGTGCAAAGGTGACGGAGCTCTAATTACTCCTAACGACTACAGCTAACCAAATGAGGGCTGGCAGCTTTTAAACACCTCTGCAGCTCCTGGCCGGTTAATCGCTGCCTCTCTTTAATCACTGACATCACTCTGGCGTTCGCAGCTTTGAAGGACGCACAGCCGAAAGAAAGAAACACACATCTATCACAGCGTTCTGTTCGCTCCTCCTGCACTTGTTAAGCATGTGCCGCTAGCTTGGGAACGCATGTCATGGGGATCGTACCTTCCCAGGGGCTTATTTAGCAGAAGTGTAAATAAGCTCTGCTGCTGCTGCTGCACGCTGCGGGACTTGGGAACACCGGCTCACTCAACTGAGGACGAGTAAACATGAAGTATTTAGAAAGAGCTCTGTAGAAGCTTAGGGGGAGAGTTTGGGAAGAAGAAGCGTGAGGCAGCAACTGAGACCAAAAAAAAAAAAAAAAAGAAGACAGTTAAGGGGAGGACAGAGCAAGAAAACATTGCTGGTATCAGCATTGACATGCAGACAGACTGTCAATCAAAAACGGAGCTCGCTGTTGTAGAGATTATGGAATGAGAGGAAAGTAGAGCTGGGGGAGGAAGGTGCTACGATGATGGGAGCTGACAGCCCTGCCGACTGCCTGACGAGCATTAAAGGGGCTGCCAGGCAGGTGAAGAACGCTTCCTTCCTCGCTGCCGTCAGAGCAGGAAAACTTCCCGCTCTCAGTCTGCAGTCAGCGCTTCCTCCAGGAACCCCTAACCTGATCATGGAGGCATGTCTAACACCTATTAAAATATTCAAATGTGTCCTGGGAGGCTTTTTTCACCGATATGCCTCCCCGGCATTAATGAAAGATAAGCTGCATCAATCTGTCTCGGCAAACGTCGGGGAACATGAACGAAACTGTGGGCGACAACAACAGTGGAGGCAACAAACACCAGATCCTCGCAGTGCGCCGATGTGCTTCTGCAGATGCAGGAGCAGCGGCAGCTTCATTAACCGACTGGTGTGTGTCAGCTGGGGTTTGAGTTTGATTCATAGCTGTCTGCTAGGGGGAAGCATAGCAGATGTGCAACTCTAGAGAACATGCGACTTAGCCCCCCACATCTAAACTACAGCAATAATGTCACAAACTGGGAGCTTAGAGACAGACCCATACATCTGCAGATACGTGCATCTGATTCATTAGTGCAATCAGCAGCCTCAAGATCACACGAGGCCATCATTGTTAACGCTTTGGTTGATTGATGAATCTTTTTTTGTTGAAGCTGAGACTTGTGCAGCATTTCTTACCATTGTGTCATTTTTATCATGTAAATAGGGGAAGAAGAAGCAATAGCGCATTCAAAAATCAGCAGCACAGATCATTAATCTGGTTCATCTCTAATTTGGACACAAAGAAGACAGATAGGTCCTCTATATTATTTCCAATCCATGTTTCAAAGAGATGCATTAAAAAGTTGATGGGAGGGGAGTCTTTTGTATTTTCTTTTGTTAAAAAAAAAAAAAAAAGATTAAAATCCCACTTGAGGTGGTGTTAACTCTTTTCAAATGAAGTGATTTGTGGTTTCCTCAAATAATGTTTACCTTCTTGTTCTCTGAGATCAAAACCAGATGAAACCGCACCGCCTTGTTTCATCACATCAATAAAAACAGAATTCAATCCAAGCATGTAATAATGTGTTAACTGGAACATCTCCTTTTATCAATCAGCTCATATTAAATGTCATTTTAAAAGCTTGATATTCCCTGAAATGTATTTTCTTCTTCAAGAGCCATGGAGCCATGCCAGAGTTTTCTAATGATACCGCCACCAGGTTTCTTTCCTTTTTTTACTTTTCACCCCTTACATGGAGTTGCCATTGAGTTGAACTGACCCACATGACATGAAGTAAATTCAGCAAATTAAGGTACAGGCTTATAAATGAATTGGATTTGGTCTCTTCATCAAACCATGATTTAGTCGTAAAATGGTCAAATAAAAACATAGAAAATGCATCTTTAAGGCAAACTCACCTCCAGCCAGCACAGAGTCCCGCTGAGTTTTCTGACGGTCCACTGAGACTCGACCTGGGGGTGGAGGAGTGGAACAGTAAGAGAGGCACCTAAAATAGTAGTTTACTCTATTTAACACCTCCCCTAACAGGAGATCTATTTCATAGTGAAAGCTTAACACATTCTGTTGTATGAGACACTTCTACCACGCTGTGAAGAGCATTCAACTATGAAATCAGCCTTTGCACTTCACAGAAGTCCACCCCAGTGTGAGCTGACCGTTTTCTCTTACTGATTTAAAAGTATGGAAGCCGGCAGGGGTCTAAAACCATATTAGGATGGCAAACTTTTTCCTCCTAAACTAAATAGCGCCCAGGAGGAGTTTCCTCCCCACTTACGTTGTGTTCCCCCTCCGTGGAGCGCACTTCATAGGAGTACGCCAGCAGGATGTCGACCAGGCTGAGCCACGCTTGGTAACGAGAGGGTTTGTCCAGCAGGTAGGAGCGGTTTGTGAATTTTCTCAGCTGCTCTTTCTCATCGTCACTAAATGACACGGCTGCAGACAAAACAACAAAAAAAATCCCCCAAAAAAGCATTAAAATACAGCACTAATGGGGGGTGGGGTGCAGTATATATCGTTTCAAAGGAAAATAATCACATGGCTTTAATGTATTCACTAACCTCACTTTTTGTGCAGTTGGCTATGTATACAACCCCAGACTTTAATGGACTCATTAGGCTTTTATAAAGTTAAGAGGAAATGAAATTGTTTTTTTAATGTTTGAAAAATTTAATCCAAATCTGAAAAGTGTGGTTTGCATTGGTACCAAACCCTGTGATTCAATAGTTTAGTTCTTCCGCTGGGATCAGTTAGACTCATCTTTATTGTCTTCCTTCCTCTTCTGGGTAAAAAAGCTAAAACTCAGTCAGACTAAATGGATATAATTAAGAATAAATCTGTGAATAAACACATGTATATCCAACGACTTGGAACCGGATCAAGGTTTGGCCTTTGACTAGGCCATTTTATTGCACGAATAGGTTTTTTGTTTTCAAACTGTTCCACTGCAGCTGTGGCTGTAGGGTGAATCTCCACATCCAATACCAAGTTATTTGGAGCCTCTACCTCATTTTCTTCTAAGATTTACCTTAACTCATCTCCTTAATAACTCTCACAGGCTTTTCTTTACCTGTTGAAATAAAGCGTCCCCACAGCATGATGCTGCCACCGATGTGTTTCACCCCGAGGATGGTCTAGTCACAGTGATATGCATATTTAGTTTAAAAACATGCATGGCGACCAAAAAGATCAGATGTTTAATGTGATCGGAGCATTTTTTTCTACATTTCTGTAGCTATCTTTCCGTTGAGCATGTAAGTGTGCAAATTATTATTACAAAATAAACAATCTTGATGATAAAAATACACGTTTTTGTGCTAGAAGTTTTTTTTTTTATCTTATCAAAATGTGTGTATCCTATAAAAATGAAATAGTTTTTGCGATGTGATCAACAACCAGATGGTACTTACAGCAAAAACAACTAAGAGGTAGAGGTGGCGGGAGGATGATGGTGAGAACAAACAGCTTCATGTGTAATTTTAACTGCATTTCTAACTAAATGGAAACAAATTGGGATTTTTTTGCTTACATTAGCAGAATATTGATAAAATTTTTAGCCCATTTGCAAAAGAAACACTTCTACATACAAATCTTTTCATTCACTTCTTCGAGCAATGGATGATGTTTGCCACTGTCTATAATTCCAGGATTAATGGCAGATTAGCTTAATGACAAATTCTCCCCACTGAACTGTGGATCTTTATATCTCCTCCAGGGTTACCACATTCTGCTCGCTGACATCATTTTAGATAGACAAAGTGGTACAGTCCACATCAGGGGGTCTGCAACCTGTAGCTCCGTAGCCACAAGTGGCTCTTTGGACCTTCTACAATGGCTCTTAATCGTGACCAAATTACAATAAAGAAACAACTAATGTGTTTAATTATAAATGGCTGTCATGGAAGCTTTAGCACTTTTTTCAAAGAATATCTAAGTTCAGTTTTCCAAACATCACAATATTAGAATAACCTATATGGTTTTAAAGGGTTTATACATGATTGAGTAACTCTTATTTAATGCTTTTTAATGCTCTTAAAAATAATCTTAATGCCATCAACAAGTACCCATGACTTAAATATATATATGTACACGGCAAAATCCTTCATCTTCACCGTTGACAGGCTGCAGCCATGTCCCGAGTTCCTTGTTTTCCCGCCCCTTTGGTTCAAAATTTGCATTTTTTCCCCCATTCTCTAGCCTTTTCTGTGCCTCAAGCTTCTTTTCCGAAGCCATTTTAATGCCACCATTATCAAATTTAATGAATTTTAATGCCAATTAAGGCCTTAATTTAAAAAATAATACTTGAATGACTTTTAATGATTTTTAATGACCCGCGGAAACCCTGTTTTAGATCCATCATTGCCTTAGTAACGTTTTTTTGTTTTTAATTTTCCACAAATTACATCCTATAGACAAAAATCCATACATTTCATATCTTTCCTAATTTGGAAATCTAAAAATACAAATAAATGACAACAGATTTCCTATAGCAGCTATTTAACTAAAATAATAAGTTGTGTTTTATCAAACTGTCAGATAACTTTTAAGAGGTATCAGAGTAATATTTGCTACTTCATCCTATTATATTGTAATGAAACATATAGTAGTTTGTGGCTGTGATGTGACTAAATTAGTAAAAGCTTAGAGCGTGAAAATGTTTCACTGCACTGCATTTATAAGACCAACATTAAGAACATGGTGCAACAAATGTCCCCTTCAATGCAGTTTGTGCGGCCAGCATGTATCAAGATAATAGGACAAGCTGTGCTGCTGCAGGAATAAACAGCTTAATCAAAGCAGGCTTAGTGCATTAAGTCTTTAAGACCACGGCCACATTAAGCTGGATGAATATGAGAATACGGTTTTACTGAGCCCCTGTTAAAGTCTGAACAGAGGGGAGGAAGCTTTTGAAGAACAAGGCTACCGATGGTTAATTGGTGCTAAACTGTTCCCTCTCAGGGGGCCTGCAGCATTCCAGGATCCTCAGTGTTTGTCTGCATATGGTAAAGGACAAGGATTCAGTGCAGGAGGAAAGGAAAATTAAAACAAGCCTCGTCACAAACTGTTAAAGCGTAGCGAATTGGATCAGTAACTAAAAAACATCTTTTAGAGGATTTTTTGGGGGCTTTTTGTTTAGGTATGGGGTCCATATCATCTGCTGGTTCTTGGTCACCTGTGTTTTCTGAAAACCACAGTCAAGACAGGATGTATTTAGAAGCTGATTTCATTTTCCAGCAGGACTTGGAATGGACCAAACTGCCCAAATGTCCTAGAGGTTGGTCCAGGGCTGGCCTGGATACAAAACTGGACTGGACCTGAAACTCTTAGAGAAACTATGGCCTGTTGTCAAGGGAACAATGAGAACCAATAATGCAGATGATCAGAAGGTCACCATTAAAGCAAGCCACCGCAGAACATCAAACTGACCTCCTCTATAGGCAACGCTGCGCTGATAGAGCAACCCACGGAGAATGAGCCCCATGAACATACACTTTAGAAATCCAACGTTTCTGTTTGAATTAAAGATTTTTAATTTATCTTCTATAGTATTTTAATTTTCTGAAATCTGGGTTTTCATTACCTGTAAGCTAAACATTAAGAAATAAATCTTCCAAATATTTCAATGAATCTAAATGATTATGTTTTTTTTTTAACATTCTAATATCAGAGCTGTACTTGCATTGACACACTTAGCAGTATATAAGAATATATTTTTCATTACTTGACCCTTTTTTACTCCATCTCATTCAATAATATATTTTTATCTTGTGCATCCTTTGACAGGCAGCTGCCCTATCCAGGGTGAACCCTTCAACCCTGCAAATATAGGCAGGCTTAGATGAATGATGGATATTTTACAGACTGATAAAACATCCAGCATGCTGGATGGAGTCTCACTACAGTAGACGTTTAAACCTTAAAGAGAAGCTGAAGGTTACAGAGAGTTCTGTAAGGGTACAAATAAAATACAGGAGTGATGTGTTCATCAGGATATTTGGCAGTGGTGGGAGGTCAGAGCCTCCAAAGCCTTCTCTGCTGGCCTAAAATCATCAGAAACACTAACCTACATTCATGACCTAATCTTTAATTTTGATCTTGTAGCGTTTCAACTTGCCTGTGCTGCCTTCATATGTGGTCTCTATATCTTTTGTCTAATCAGATTTCAGCCTTTGAGCCTTGCCATGTCATTGCAATCTGCCCAGGGCCTTCACAATCAGCAGAGCTGGCTGATGTTACCTTAACAATATTAGTGAGGAGCATTTTCTTCAACCAATCAGATTTCAGATTTGCTAGAGGGCTCACCCTTACGTCATCATTTTCTGTCCTCTGATTGGTCAATTAGAGCTTAATATTATCAGCCAAGTTAAGCTAGTGACAATCTGCAGTTTTTCATGTCTGAAAGGTCGATACTAAAAGTAATAGTTTATAAATAATCAGCAGCTCTGGTTAGAGTGATATATTTTATTTTCATGCTCTATTTTATGTGGTAATTATATGCATATTGAATCTGAATGGCTACTGATGATGTAAATATGGCGACGCTGTGGTTATAGAGTAGAGGAGTAGTGGTTTCTGTTATGAAAATGTGAAAGTGGTGATATTAACCCCTTCGTGAAACCCATTGTCTCAAATATATATATATATATATACATACATACATATATATGGAAATCAAGGGATATGAAATAGATTAAGTTGAGGGGTGCCCACTGAAGGCCTCGGTACGATATGCATCACCCGCCACTGATATTTGGCAAACATATAGACATGCATGGAATGATTTAATAACACTGTGCAGCTCTAATCTTCAGTGCATAATCAAGGCTGTATGTGTAATTAAATCTGCGTGGATTATATAAAAAAGATGATGATCAATTTATCTTGTGGATCAGATTAAAGTGCAGCAATTTGGTACGGTTTGTGGTGCTCTTCTAGAACGTTTGCATGTTCACCAGAATTGCAGGTTTTTATCTAAAAAGCTGGTTTCTGTTCCACCATCCAAAGTCAGATCAGAACAGAGGCAGCGAGATGTAAAAGCGGAGCAGAAAACCTACATTGTTGGTCCCGTTTAGAATGTTTTTGTGACACCTTATCATGCTGGTGTTAGAAAAACCGGTGGAGGTGTAAATCATTTTCACACATTCACAGTTTATGGGTCTAAATTCTGTGCCTTTTTTTCAGGTTAATAAAATCTCACAAATTCACACAAGCTAAGCTGGTTGACAGCCAATAAAATCTGTCTGCTGCAGCCGCAGATGAATGTCTCTGCTGAGGTGCAGGAGAATCAAAGTGAACCAAATTAAATGAGGAAAATTAGCTATATCAATATGTCTGATAGCTCAGCCAGGGGAAAATACAGACTTTCTGGGATGTGACAGTGTTTGAAGACACCGCGTCTCTGCTATCTGAAAATTCATTAAGTGGTTCCTTTTGAA